ACCCATCACGCCCCCACGCAGCCCCCGGGACAGCTGTCTCCCTGACCTGCTGCGGCCCTCCCTCCCTCACAGGGGCCACACTGATATCTGTCATCATCCCACGTAAGGAGGGAAAGGGAAAAGGATAAACAGTCAAAAAAAGGCAAAAAGCGAAGTGTCGGTCCCTCCGCTTGCGTGCAGACGCCCTGCTTCTTTAAGCACCTGCGGGCTCTGACTTCCTGTTGTCGGTGTTCCTCTCCATCACTCTTGCCGCAGCGAAGTCTTACTTTATTAAAAAAAAAGAAAGAAAACAAAAAAAAAAGGCAAAAAACCCCCACAAACTTTTGTGAGTTACAGTGTAAAACCATGTAGTTTTAACAGAGAACAGAGTTGTACTATTGTTTAAAAAGAGAAAAAAAATGATGTAAGAGTCTGTTGTAAATGACCAAGAAAAAGAAAAAAAAAAACAAGCATTCCCATTCTTGACACGGTGAAATCCAGGTCTTGAGTCTGATTAATTTATGGTTTCTGCGTGCTTTATTTATGGCTTATAAATGTGTGTTCTGACTGCAAGAACCAGAGTTCCACAAATCTATATTAAAGTGTTATTGCCAGTTTGATGCCTTGAATCTCCAAGATTTTTTTTCCTTTGCTTGATTGAAAAAAAATAAACAGGTCTGGGAAGTATTTAAAAATTGAAGGAGGGAGGTCCTGGCTGGTTGCAGGTTTTATTTCATTTGGGAGGGTGGTTGCTGTTTTAGCAACATTTTATTCTTAACATTTTCAGACATACTGAAGTTGAATGAATTTTACAGTAAACACACGTGTACCCACTGCCCAGATCCTACAGTTAACATTTCGCTAAACTTGTCACATTGCATATCTGTCCATCTATCTACGCCTCCATTGATCCATTTATCTTCTTTTCCTAGATGCATTTCAAAGGAAATTTTAGACTTCAGTACACTTCCCCCGTAACAGTTCAGCAAGCACATCATTACTAGAACTCAATGTTGTTCGTGGTTACTGTTTGAATTTTGAGTTTAACTTTACACAGTGAAACTCACAGATTCCAGGTGAACCGCCCCATGGCGTCGATGCAGGTTTGCCTCCAAAGCATGCAGAAAACCATGTACCCCTATTTCCCACCTGGGCCATGTGAAGACGCAGTGTTGCTGACATCCCTTGGGCCCCAGGGCCGGCCTCTCTGGGGAGAAGCCTGGATTTTACTATTTTTCCCCCCTATATTTCCAATCCCAGGCCTCTCTTCAAGGCAGGGAGCCCAGATTGGATCTGCACATTCCTGGTGCAGCGCATCGCCTTTCCACCCTGTCTCTCTGCACCCACTCATCCTTCTGTAGAGCTGGGACCCTGCCTGGATTCTACAGCCTGAGACTTCTGTCTACACCCTACCTCCCCTTCCATCCTCCACCTTTACTGGTGTTCTGCACAACCTTGATAGAGCTTGCTGTAGCCAGGAGAAGCCAGACTTCTGGAACCATGCATTTGAGCATCTGGTCTGGAGAAATGAAAGACTTTCTCCTGGAAGTGATTACAATGCATCTCAGGGTCATGACTGAAATCTTTTAAAGTAGGTAGATTGAGGGATAAGGCAGAGGTAAGGGGTGTCTTGCGAAGCTGGAAAGGGTGGGCTCTCAGGGTCTGCAGGTTTGCTCCCTTCTGCTCCCCCTCCCCACAAACACCATTGCCCTTGCAAAGGTCCTGTCAGGCCCGTGGCAAGCCAGGATTACAGGGGTTAGAGGGGACGAGTGGATATTTTGTGATCCTTAAAGGAATACCTGGAAGTATAAAGACCCAGAATAAAATCTTACGGATCGTACTGCCTCTCCGCACAGACAGCTGAGCGGCCCTGAATCCGCGGCCAACCAACATGGAAACCTTGGAGGTGAAGCCAGGCCTGAGTGTGCAAAGGGGGTTTTGGCTTTGGCTTTGCCCTAGGCATCTGCTGGCCTCAAGCTGGCCGGCGAGGCAGGAGCCAGCGGGGTGGGGGACCGCGCAAACGTGGGGCCATCCAGGACGCAGCTAGCTTGCAGTGCGTAAGAATCTCCGCAGAGTCAGAGGCCAGGCCTTTCGGCTTCAGCTTTCTAAGCCCAAACTCCTGTGTCCGGGACTAAATCTTTGGGCCTCTCAACCATCCAAACTTGGAGGGTCCCAGCTTTGCCCCAAGCCTGGTGGATACCAGCTCTCCGAGTGCCCTCTGCCACCTTGCTGGGTCTCGCCCCGCCAACCCTGGCCTTCCCACGCGCTTGAGGGGGGTTTTCCCTCGCCTCCGCCTCCCGCCTCCAAATCCCTTTTTAACATGCCACATTGTCCCGAAGACACAAGGAAGAGCAACTGGGGAGGGGGGAATCCGGAGGCCTCGGCCAGCAATCAGGGCCGTCTCTCCCCCCGGGCAAGGACACACACGTCGTGAGCCCGGCCAGAAATGTGTTTCATTATCACATAAAAGGCTCCCGTGGTGAAGGAGCCGAGAGGCAGGGCCGGGGGCCGAGTGCGGGACAATGGAGGCTGAAAGCGCAGCCCTAACCTGCTCTGTTTCCTATCGCGCGCCCATTGTGCGCGGGTCGTTTTAAACTACTTAGTGCGCCCCCCTCCACTGATCCCGGCCGATAAGATATAGTTCTGTCCGAATACATAAAAAGGATGTCGGGGAGCTGGCCGCTCGGGGCCTTTTCTGCGCGTCCAGCGCCTTTCGCGCCCCCTCCCCCGCCCCTCCCCCCCGCCGGGCCCGGCTTACTGGCGCTCAGACCGCCCTCCGCCCGCGTCCCCCGGCTCTGCGTGGTCCAGCGCGCCGCTCCTTTCCCCTCTCTCTCCCTCTTTTTCTTCCTTTTCCCCGCGCCATCCGCGCGCGGGTTTAAGCAACCGTGATCTGTGAATAAACAGTCAGTAAACAACCGAAAAAAACATTGTAGATCCGAATTCCAGGAGGGTAAACTTGCCCTGCCACGTCACACTTCGGCAAATTTGCACAGATATCATATTGCCTCCCCCTCCTTTATTATTCTTTTTTTTTTTTTTTGCCAGGATCCCATTGTACTTAACTGAATTTTATAACGCTGATCGATATCTTGGTAAAATATTCATTTTTAAACTAGCGGGCAGTGAAATCTTTGCTTTGTGTGCTAAAGTCAACAGTCGCTGGGTTTGAGCTCAAATAAATGCGGGGATGCCTCGGCTCGGAGCAGTCGGCCGCCTCCCTCCGCGCGCTGGACGCTCCGCCGCCGCCGCCGCCGCCCGCCGCCCCGCAGGTAGGGAGCGCGCCCACTCGGGGGCCGCGCCGGGTCCCCGCCGAGCGTCCGCCCCCCACTCTCGTCCGCGCGCCTCCCCTCCCCCTAGCCAGCCCCTCTCCCTTCTCGGAGCTCCGAGGCCTGGTGAGGGGGCGGGAAGAGGGGCGAGAAGCCAAGTCGAGGGAGACCCTGGGGTTGGGGAGGTGGTTTTTTTGGCGGGGAATTCTGAGAATGTTCCGGGTGGGAGGATGGGGTTTCCAAAAGCTACACACTTGGGCTGCAACCGGGGCCCGGAGCGCCGTTGGGAAGTTTAGTGGAGCCCCTACATCCGTTCCGGGCTGGGGATTCGATCCGAGGGCCGTAGTCGCCCCAGGATAGTGGCGGGGCGGGAATGGGGGCCTCCCTTGGCCTCAGAGCCCGGGCTGGGGGCGGCGGGGAACGGCGCCCTGGTACCGGTAGGCTGCGGAACGGTGGCCCGGAGTGGGCGGCCGTTCCGCGGCGCGCACGGGTTCGAGTCCTGTCTAGGCGGTTCAGGGAAGCCCTGCGGCCCAGGCAGCGGTAGGGGCCCTGGCCTCGGGAGCCGGGGAGGGCCCGCGCCTTTCCGAGCGGCGAGGGAACTGCGTTCTTGCCGAAAGAAGGGCTGACGGCCTGTGCGCAGAGCGCTCGCGACCGCGGGCGTATCCGGGAGCCTTGGGGCCGCAGGCCAGGTCCAGGAGGGGAAGTCTAAACCTGGCCGTGAGGCCGTTCGTCACCCACTCCCCGCCCCGCACTGGCTCCGGGGCACCGGGTTGTGGGGGCCGGATAGAACCGACCGCATCTGTCCGCCGCCTGCGGGAAGGCGCCTGCTCAGAAAACCAGTGGTCCCGAGGCTGCCAGTTGATACCGCAGGACCCTGGGCTTCAGGGGACAGGGAAGGAAAAGGTGTCCTTCCTCCGGGGTCTACCAGACGCCCCCCTCCCCGAACTCTGCATTCTCCCTTGGGGTTCTGCATTCTACAGCGGCTGGGCATCCGGCTTGTGAGAGGCCCCCGCCGGCTCGGTCGGTTTGGCATTTCGCCTGGACGTAAGGCGCGCTGGGTCCCGGCCCATCGAAAGTGCCCGACACCCTAGCTGGAAAGTTGTTCCCGTCCTCGCCGCAGTCAGCCAGATCCTAAACCCCAAGGGCAGATACCGGTCCCGGTAATTGCCAGGGTCAGCCTTCCGGGCACCTCCGTGTGTGGGGGCCCTGGGCGGCCCCTTCCCTCCTTCCCTGGCGCCTTTCTCCAGCGCGCCCAAGGCCGACCGGGGAGCGCGCCCGCCGCCCTCCAGGCCCGGCTGCGGCTCTCGTGGCTGGTTCTCTTCCCTGAACAAGGTGGACCGCCGGCAGGACACACGCGAGGCTAATCGTTTTTAAATAATTAATGCCTCCCCGTTCGGCTGGTAATGCGCGGCCTCGAATCCGTCAATTACTTGTCATTAGACGGTGTCGCCCCACGGCCTTCCCTCGGGCCTTTGATGGCGGCCGGTCACCGAGCCCGGCCCAGTCCACGGCCGCATTAAAGGGTGCCCGGCCTTTGAGAGCCGGCGCGGAATGGCCGCGGCCCTTAATTCAGTGCGAGTTTTGAAAGAAAGACCCTTGCTGAAGAGATGTAATCTTCCAAATGGCCAATTTAAACGCTTGATGTTTATCGCGCGCCTTCTCTCGGCTTTATGAAGAGAAGCCGGTCCTCAGTGCTTTGGGGGCCTTTTAATGCGGGGGTGGGGCGAGGAGAAGCGAGAGGGAACGTTCACTAGGGCAGGGGGGGCGATGTCTGCCCAAGGAGGCACCCGGAGGTGCCTTGGGTAACTGGTTTCCTCTGGGGCAGCGCACCCTGCCAAGCTCCGGGGGCCTGGAGGGCCTCCCAGCTTGGTGTGGGCGTCGCCGAGACCAGACCTGAAACGTGCAGACCAAAGCGGTCTTGAGGACGCACTAGGGCCTTTGGGGCCGGGAAACTTCACCTTCTGCGAGCAGATAGGAAGGGAAGCGTCTCTGAGCCCCACACCTGCCCCCATCGTGGACCCGGCCTTGCAGAACAGTGGGACCGGCTGGTGTCCAAAACCTACAGGCACCGCACGCATCTGGCCGCCCAGAGGGGACACCGCCCCCATACACACCCCTTCACGCCACCAGCCCCACTGCGCTGCCTCCGCTGCAGCAGAAGAGCAAGGTTTCAGACCCTGAATGCCTCTGCTGGGTCAGGGACACAGTGGACACCAGCCCTGGCCATAGCACCGTGGCAACGCAGGCGGGCCCAGGGATGCTACAGCGAAATGATAAAAACAAAAAACAAAAGCACGAGTTCTCCCAAAGGTGACTGATTTAATTACCCATCTTCTCTTCCTTCCCGCATCAAATGTCCTCTTTATAATAAGCAGACAGATGCCTGGGGGTCTCAGAGCCTCACGTGCCCCCTTGTGAGTGAAGACAACGCACTGCACCCACACACACCGCGCCTCAGCGGCAAAGACAGCACCCTCTTTGTGTTACAGCTTCAGACCACACGTTTCTCACTGCCTCTGCCACCTCTGAGAAGAGAGGGACAGGAGACGTGTGGCGGAGGAGAAGATCCCCAGGAGAGCTGCAGAAGCAGTGTTTAATGGACGAGGAGAGGCCCGCCTGAACCTGCTTGTGTGTGCAAGGCCCCCCGCTCCCCGCCCCTGGGAGCCTGTCCTTCCCCCAGTGGCCACAATCATTCGGATTTTTTTGAGAAATTCCTCTTTGATGAGATGCATCGGATGTGGGCAGGATGTTACAGGTGCCCCTCCAGAGACAAGCAAGCAGACACTTCAGGGACTGGGTGGTGTCCCTGGTGGCGCTCCATGGGGTCCCCAGCTCCTGGAGCGCTGCTTGTCCCTTAGATGAAGCCCCCAGGGAGTGCTCTGCCCCCGCACTCCAGGGGTTGCCTCGGAAGCCTAAAGCCTGGGCATCTTCCCCATTCTGCTCACAGCCTTCCTGCCTGCGCTCTCATCCTTTCTCTCCTTTCTTCTTTAAAACAACCGCGGGTGCCCCCCCACCCCCTCCTGCCATTGTATCTGCTGATGGCCTAACACGCTCACACCGAAAGCCACACACAGAAAACCAACAACGTGTGATGGGAGGGCTGAGGCTAACGAGCGGGGAACACCCAAGTTGAGGCCGGCTGTCTCCGGGGAGACTGATGGAGGCTTAGCTTACAAGCTGCCATTCCTCCGTGGTCTCGTTGCCAGACTGGAGGTGACTCCTCCCCGCCCCGCCCCCAGCCCCGGCACCCCTGGGGCTCAGTCCAGATTCTTTGTGTACCATCTGCAGATGGAAATGCCACAAGGTCCCTCTTGTGCACAGGTGGGGAGGACAGGGTGGTTTCACAGGCCCATCTTCACAGCAGTGTGCTTAATTTTCACATCCGTGGCGGCTCCTCAGAGCTCCGAGCTCATTGCCAATAAGACACGGACACTGGTCAGATGTCACTGTCACTCATGCCCGCTCCTCGCCAGGTTCCCGTTAAAAGGCATTGACTGACTTACCCTTCACGCACCTCTCTCTCTTTCTCTAAAGAAGGTGGGTATTTTACTGGCAGAGAACACAGCCGATAGCCAGAGCGCTGCAAACTGCAACACAAACTAAGTTGCAGCCATTCATGCAAAACCAGGGGTTCTCAGCTCTCACGAGGGCGAGTGCCTGGGGCCCAGCTCTCTCCTGAAGCTCATTGGCGGCACTGACGTTCCTGCCGGCAAGGCTGGACTTACTAAACTTCAACACGTCAGGTGAACTGGGGGCAATTTCAGCCTCACAAACACCTATGCGTGAGGGGAAAGTCCTGGAGTATTTTGTAGATTAAAACTTCAGAATGAAAATTGTTTGCTGTGTTTTAGTTCCACTTCTGCTCAGCTTCATGGGTAAACCAGCTTTTCCGTTGTGTCACTTATTTGAAAAAAAACAGTAAAAACCCAGGTTCCGAGAAGAAGCACGAATGTTTTTCAGACCAAGGTGGCAGTGGCCCCGGCACATCCACGTCAGACTGCATGTGCGTACGTTTCGACTTCTTATTTCATTAGACATATGACGTTGACTCAGTATGCCTTCTCCTTTCGCAAAGCAGACATAACTACATCATGGATTTTGTTGAGAAATTTTTGTTTGTGTAAAGAAAAGCATGCGGTTCCTAATTTGAGGATTCGGGTGTGAAAAGCGCATCACTTGAAACCAGATCCCACAGTCTTGGGAAGGGGCTGGCAGAGAGGACTGGGGAGCTCTGCCACAGGCAGCGGGGGAGCTGAATTACCAGGGAGGGGAGGCGGTGTTGAAATGACATTTTCAGTGAAGGATGCAGGTGGAGGGGCAGGACCTGGGCTGAAGGAGGCTCTGTAAGGAGGCCAGAGGCACCTCTAGCGGAGAAATCAGGGTGTCAGCTTGTGGACGCTCTACAATGCGCCCCTCTGCTCCGGCGTCCTGCTTGCCTCGCTTTGTAAAATCCAGTCTCAGAAATTTCAGATAAAGGAGCCCGGCCCCACCAGGTGTTGTCTACTTAGCCTGCAGCTCTGCGCTGCGTTGCGATTAGCTGCTCACCCACAGAAAGAAGTTGCAACCTCAACGGCTTGCTGGTGGAGAACATTTACCCTCCACCCAAGTAAAAGGAGCCCATTTCTCAGCAAAACGGTGCCCTTCTTTCCAGCACCTTAGTGTCTCTCCCACCCTCGCCCCAGCCCCTGAACGTCCCCTCCTCTTTCCTTCATCACAACCGAATCCCACCCACCACCCCCAGTGTGGTCGCCAGGTGCCGTCAGGAGCAAGGCCTCACTCAGACCCCCCCCCCGCGGGTTAATGGGCGACGGGCCTCAGAAGTCTGGGGAAAGGCTCCGGTCCCAGAGCACAGCGCTGAGCTCAAGCCTTTCATCTCTGCGTTCTTCTCAGCTTCTCTTGGCTTCTTCGTATGACTTGGGCACAGACCTCTCTGATTCCAGCGCAGTAGGAAGCCTGTCTTCGCCAGGACCCTCAAATTTTCAAAGTGACTTGCTGGTGGCAAAGGGGGAGGCCGAAACGTCTAGAGACAAACAAGAAGGTGGCCAGAGGAGGAGGCCGGGCACCCCCTGGAAGGAGGGCAGAGGCCCCGCCCGCAGTCCCAGAAGGGGTCAGGTGGGTTGTGTCTGGGGTCAGGCTGGCTTCTCTCTTTCTCTCTCGGAGTTGGAGTTCCCATGCAACCATGGCCCCAGAGCTGGCCCGGCCAGAGCATCAGTCACGGCTGGGCCGAGACCGCTCCCCTACAACCTTCAACCTTCAACCTTCCGGGGCCATGGCTGG